CATAAATTAGAGCTGTTTGCTACCAGAATTTACGGAGTTAGAAGCTGGTTTTTTGAGTTCCTTTGATATATGTAGTACGTTATAATTTATTTCTGTAGATGTTAGAAATGTTAGAGAACCACTTGTCCTTTATATAGTAATAAAATCAATTTTTATTTCCTGTTGTTACTAGAAAGTGGTAACTAAATTCTGCTGAGAAATTTGTGGATGGCAGAAAGGATTTCGAAATATGTCTGTGGATGGCTGTCAAGTTTATTTTGAGGAATTTGCAAAATAAGAAAGGCATTAGAGTTTGGCCAGAGACCGAAATTGGCTCCAAATTGATAATGCAATGCTCAACTTAAGATATTGATTCAAGACCAAAAACTAGTGTGGAGCTGTGTGGTGGAGAGCTAGAGAAAATTTGTAGAAGAAACTGAACTTAAGCTTGATCATGATTAATAATTTGGTTACTAACCTCTTAATTAGTATATTTCAGTACGGCGCCGCCAACTGTCCTTAGGCTGCGTGCTTTCTCAGCTGACCCTTCAAGAACAATCCTAACAGTTGGACATATGAATCCTTGTCATGTGTGCAAAAGAAAAAAGTATTAGGAGTGTCATTTGCTTGGATTATTAGAGGAAGACTTAGACGTTGCTACCTTTTTACCTGTTTATTAGTGGAAGACCCTGACTAACTTGCCATCTCTTCCACTAAACACATCATTGTTGTCGGTTCTAATGATAAAATCACTTGCGTACCGTATTTCAAGGGAAATGCAATGGGTTAAAACACCAGTCTGTGAAATTAAAATAAGGACTCTACTTTGAATGAATTAAATCAAACAACTTCTTTTCAAACAAACTCTTTTTTCCTGAAATTAATATTCTTCTTGTAATTCCGAATAGTTCACAAAACAAGAAGAAAATTAGGAGATCAGCTATCTCTCCCTCAAATGCCTAAGAACCCCAAATTGTATTGAATAACCCCAAATTGTATTGCACACAGGTGTCATAGATAGAACCAGCTAACACATATTCATAACCCCACCGGTATAACTATAGTCTAATAGCCAGACTTTACTGATCATATTCAAGTTAGCAAGATTATATTGGCGATCATTCATGACGGGGATAAGAATTTCAAGGATTGTGTTCAAAAAATCACTTTAGGTATTATTTTAATTATATTAAAAATTAAACCATTTTTCACAAAATAATTGATATGCTTCCTCACTTTAAAATCCATCCTAAAATTTTTTTTCAATCCAAACATAAACTTTAATTTTTATTATTAACTTTTTTCTTTTTTGATTTTGCAATCTTCTCTAACTCTTTAACTCAACTTACCTACATATCATGCTATTCAAACTCAACATCTCTTACAAGTTATTATTATTAACAATGAATGATAATTATTTATGACTTATTTTTTAACATTGTCGTGTCACAACCTTCTCCCATAACAATAGAGTTACATGTGTTTAGATGAAGTGGTATAGGGAAAATTAAAATTTAGTTACTTGTGATTTAGGGTTGATTCACATAAAGATTTAAGGTTTTAAAATTTGCGTGTAACATATTTATGGTTTGAAATAAGTGCATATAGAAAACAAGAAATCACTTATCGAGGAATTAGTATTGAAATATGTAAAAACTGCTCTAAAAACACATTAACTGTTAAAAAAAATTAAAAAAAAAAAAGTCAGAGTCTCTCTTGTATATATTACTTCCTACAAAAAAATGCTAGTACATCAAAGCCCCAAAGCCAATAATTTCAATTGCCATATGATACCTTTTTTTCGTTATAATTAATCCATTTATCGTAATAAAGGTATAAATTCCTCCTTCCCTTGATAATCTCATCTCCATATAAATCAATTTGTTGTTACAATCATTTTTTAACTAAATAAAGAATTAAAGAAAAAGAAAAAGGATATAAATAAGGCTAAAGTAACAGATAAGGTCGCCAACTTACACCAAATTTGCAGTTAGGTTCCAAAATTTTATGACACTCGATTAAGGCCCTAAAGTTGTCATGATTCTCAAATAAGGTCTTGATGGGGTGGAAACCATTAGGTCCGTTAATAGATCTATTGCTAACCCTGTTAACTCTAACTGGTTAAATAACAAAAAATAACAAAAAATAACAAAAATAATCCCTAGACTTCTAATTTTAACTCTTAATAACCTTAAACCTTTAAAAAACTTTAAAATGTTCTTAAATTTTTTTTTATGAGGAAATTTTGTAGGACCCACCATTAAAAATTAATGTGGCATGTATGCTGGCCTCAATTTTTTAAATTTTTTTTTCATAAATGGATTTACTATGCAGATATGTGAGACCCACTCAAAAAAATTTGTTGTGGCAAAACACGCAGTTATGGTAACTGTTGAGTTGAATTAGTAATGCGCATGACCAGGTGAGAGAGATGAGTGAGAGAGCAAAAACACCAAAGTAATGCGCATGACCCATTTATGACAAAACACGGACTAACGGAATACTTTCTTACTTGTGTATATAAAGGTCCAAGGTAAATTGCTGGAAGTGGCACGGAAACGATAGCTGTGCTTGGTGGTTGATTTGAGTATATTTTGATGGAGTCGAAATGCTTATGTATGTGCTACTTACACTCCTCTTATTAGAAGGGCTGTGGTGCCAAGGGTGTTGGGACCATGAGAGAACTGCTCTACTCCAACTCAAGCCATTTTTTGATAATCCTTAGGGTACAAAAATATGGTCGGTGAGAGGAGAGGAAAATTCAAATTGTTGTCAATAGGAGGGGGTTGAGTGCAACTCTACCACTGGACAAGTCATAACACTCAATTTCAATTACAAAAAGTTCCAAGAATCTAATAGTGACATGTCTCTACCTCGCTATGGGAATCCCACGTTTGATTTTATGGAATTGGAGAATCTCCTGTATCTGAATGCTGTCTTTGTTTCTTCCACTTGAAGATTTCAGGAGTCTCTATTTCGCTGGAAATGGGATAGCTGGTTGCATTGAAAATGAAGGTTTATACCCATCTTCCAACTTAATTTTGTGATTATCATGATCATCTCAATATGTATATAAGTATATTCGTCTCATTTCTATTCTCCCATATATATTTATTCTCTATTTTAATTTAACCAAAATTACAATTCATATGATGTGTTTGCAGGTTTGGTTAAGCTTTCAAAGAAGTTGAGTAATTTGGAAATCCTCAACTTGGAAGAAAATTTCTTCAATAACAGCATTTTGCCATCTCTAAGTGAGATTTCATCTCTTAGGTCTCTAAATCTAGGTGATAACAAGTTCCAAGAATTTGACCATGCTAACAGTATGATAGTCCATCTCTTCTTCACCCTTGTTCTAGTGAAAATTGGTATCCCCTTTCTTTTAACAAAATCTGACATCTTGATGTTCTTATTCTCTCTCTTTGATTGCTATGTGTTCTCTTCGATCGATTTCCTTTTATCTTGTTACTTTTTTGGAGTGCTTCGAATATCTCTCTTGAATGCAAGTTAGCCCCTCTGAAATCCCTAGATCATTAGCCCAATGATTGAACCTTGCCCCTCCTTTCTTTTGATCAAAGTCCCCGTTCGGAGTAGTAGATGGAACGAGGGAGAGGACAAAGAGTGTGTAGAGGAGAAAGGGACAATAAACAGTTGAAGAAAAGAATTTTTGTCTGCTCTGATTTTTTTTTCTTTCTTCTTTTTTATTTTATTTTTTTGGGACGAAAGCTTAATGATTTTGATGAATCAATTCTATTTTTAATTTTTGTGATCCTAAAAACCCCAAAATTTTGGCACTCTTCATGTTTGGTGGAGAATCATAGATAAATTTGTAGGGTGAAGGGATTGAATGATAAAGTCAGGAAGAGGAAAGCTAAGGAAGTAAAGTGGGAAGGGGTTTCAGACTAAAATGGTGTCATTTTATTTATTGGGTTTGCCTAAAAATTGACAATACAGGCTAACCCCAGTTTATTTATATATATATATATATGGCTCCAAAATTGAATTAGTAATTCTGTAATTGTATGTATGACAAGTTTTGAGAAGCTTCAAAGTTGACAAATCAAGAAATCCTTAATCCAACTTATAATAAGCTGAACAATATTACCTTAACATCTTTGAGGGAATTTTTGTTTCTCAAGTCTCTATATCTAGGTGACGACAAATTTCAAGCATCTAACCATGTTGACAGTATCGTTTTCATTTTTGACTTATAGAAACCTATTTCCTTATTGTTTCAATTGAATATATATGTGCCTCCAAAACTAAATAAATAATTGTATGTATTTCAAGTTTTGAGAAGTTTTCTAAGTTGAGGAGTCTAGAAATTCTTGATTTACAGGGCAATCAATGAAATAATAGTATCTTAATATCCTTGAGTGAGCTTCCATCTCTCAAGTCTCTATATCTAGGCAACAACAATTACCAAGCATCTAGCCATGCTGACAGTATAGCTGTCCATCCTTGGTTTATAGAAACCCATTTTCTTATTGTTTCATTGTAATATATATAAGACTCTACCACTGAATTAGTAATTGTACATATTGCAAGTTTTGAGAAGCATTCTAAGTTGAGGAATTTAGAAATTCTTGATCTAAGTTCCAATCAGCTCAACAAAGATATCTTAACATCTTTGAGTGAGCTTCCATCTCTCAAATCTCTCTATCTAGGCAACAACAATTTTCAAGCATCTAACCATGCTAACGGTATAGTTGTCCATCTTTGGTTTATAAATAACCATTTTCTTATTGATGCCGAAAGGTCCAATTCAAGGTAAAGAAGAAGATGGTCCTATTGATATAGAGGTATTCTGTGTGAGTTTTATTGTATCATACATAATGGTGTTGGTAACTATTGCCGCAGTTCTCTACATAAATCCTTATTGGAGGCAGGCTTGGTTCTTTTACATTGAGATGTGCTTCAATTCTTGCTACTATTTTATGGTAGATCATCTACCCAAGCAATTTCGTTAAAGAAAGTACCCATATTATAGGTGTCATTGCTAATTATGTTGTTTCCCCTTTTTTCCTATTCAAAATTGCAATGAAAAGCCTCTTATTAAAA